TCTAGCAAATATTACTGAGGTAATAATAATATACCTGAGATAGCCAATGGAGGCTAGTGGAAGAGTGCACAAAATGGAGGCTCTTGCTGGGGAAAAGCCTGTGATAGAAAGAACCAGGGACCCCTGAGAAAAAGCATGGTCCACTACCACTCCCTAGCTCTTTCTTGAGTTTCTCCTGGAAACCAGCAAGGGACCTAAAAACTGGATTGAAGTCATTCCCTGCTGGAAGGTCATTCAAGAGGACTTGATAATCTGGGGATTGATTTATCAAAAAAAAAAAAAGAAGATATTCTGGGGATTGACAGCCCAGCTCTTGGCGTATCTTTTCCACCACTTTTATGAGTTCAGAGACAACATATATATAGGGTATTAGGTCCTGAAGAGCAACCTAAGTCTGCCATTGCCAAGGTTGTCGGGAATGTGCTGTAGTAGTTGATCAGTTTGGTTATGGCTTCCACCCAGATTGGTTTTGTCATGCGGATTAGGTTCAGCTGTCCAAATCAACGAGTGTTCATTTAGAATGACTTTTGTTCTCTATTTTATAGCTCCGGAGCTCCCAGTTAAATATATAAATAAAAGTGACTCAAAAATAAGTGAAAATTGAATTTGATTCATGCATGAACTAATTTATTTGCATGACCGATTAATTACCTGAATAAATGAGTTTTCAGCATAACTGGTTTCCCCTACTCCTCCTTTCATGCGGGATGCTTGAAATACTTCCATCTTTGTGTCTCTTTTCCCCCTCGCTTTGGGTTCAACGCACAAATAATGTTATATTCTTGCTCAATATATAGATGTTAATCTCTTCTCCTCTGACTCACCAATCACCCAACTCTTCGCCACACAAATTAATTAAGGTATCGTTGGAAACTTGGAATTAATTGTTTCCATAGTTTGCATGTACGTAAGACGGTATTTACAATGTGTTTTCACAATGAAAACCTACATAACGCAAGGTGTAACTTTAATTGGTTATATATATATATATGATATACACCCACTGGTTCAACATTTGGTTCAATATTTTTCGGTTTAATTATTAAAAAATTATTATTTTTTAATCTGAAATTAAAAATAGATAAGTATAATGATACAATTATGTACACAGGATATAGGAACCAACTAAATTGACTGTATTCATATTATATTTTTAATGACTAAACCAAAAAATATTAAACCGGATGTTGAACCAATGGATGTACCAATCATTTCCCATATATATGTATTTTTGTTTTGATGAGAAATAAAATTTCATTAATATATGAAAACTATTAAGGTTATAGGATCAATCTGAATGAGTAAAATGCAATAAGTATCATACTCAAAATGTATGAAAATACAAAATCAAATAATTTAATACTTATATAAATATACAAAGAGATAATAGCATGAAGAAGAAATGTTGTTGAAGTTGTGAGCACAATATCATCCACATAAAGCAAAAGAATAGCCATGGCACCATTGGAATGATAAAGAAACATAAAATTATGAGAACAAGCTTGAGAAAAGCCATGACTATAGAGAAAAGAAGCAAACCTCTCAAATCAAGCACGAATTGCTTGTTTCAATTCATAAAGAGCATGATGCAAGCGACAAACATAGTTAGGATGATTTTGATCAACAAATGTAGGAGGCTGAGACATGTATGCATTACGCCAAGTGCTAAAATAGTTCTAATGGTAATAGACTTCACCACAGGACTAAAGGTATTATCATAATCAATATATAGTTATTGTGTATAACCTTAAGCAACAAGGCAAGCTTTGAAACGCTTAATGGAACCATCATCTCGCTGCTTAATTTGATACGCCCACCTTGATACAACAATATTAGCATTTGAAGGATATGACACAAGAGACCAGGTGTTATTTCTAATTAAAGTAGAGAACTCATCCACCATTGCAAACCTCCATTCAGAAAGCTTACTAGGTTCTCGAAAGGTTTGTGGTTCTTTGAGAGTAGTACTACAAGTAAGCAAAGAGGGTAAAACGTGAGGCTAGTACCAACCTACAACATTGTTGTTATGGGACGTGTCTGTTAGGGTTGCTTGGTAAAAGGCTGGATAGATGACTCAAGGGAAACCAAAGGAGAGTAAGAGGGAATCGGATTGACATTAGGTAGATCATGAGGCTTAGTTGTAGTAGTGAGGTTTGAATCGAGGAAAAGTTCAAATGACACTATTATATTCAACTCGCAAAATGTGATCATCCACATGTTTTTAATACTTTATTTTTTTATTTTTCATTTTTTTGGTACAACTGATGATGAGTTATACAAAAAGGAATAGACTATCCTATTCCCAAATCTCTCTGCATTTAACTCAAGATTCGAATTTAAAATCTTCAACTTAGAGTTTTAAGTTTTTAATCGTTAAGTCATTCATTGAGGTTTTAAAATACTTTATTTACCCTAGAATAACATTCCTTACTAATTTAAAATTTATTCAAGATTTTTTTTTTTTTGGGAAAGAGAAAATATTACAACTATTCCTACAAAAATTTAAGTCTTGGAACGAGTTAGGATTTTTGCTGCCCATTGTCAACCCACCAGGGCTGTTAGTACATTTTAGATTAATTGTTGTTTTTCATATTTGAAGTAAAACAAATATTTATTTTCTACTTTAATTATAATTATTTTTTGACTTAAATTATGCATCATATTACCGAATTTATCTTTTTTTAAAAATATAAATAAAATAAAAATTATCTTCAGTTTTTTTTTTTTTTAAAACGTTTTGCATACTCTTTGTATGGTATGTACCAAAAGTTTGTTTTAAACATTTCTCATTTTGCTCGTGTACCTAATTTACAGTTTTACACCCAATAAAATCAAGTGAATCGCCAAGAGTCATACAGGAGTAGAAAGACGGAAGTAAGATTTGGACTCTTTGGGCCGCTATCCAAACTTTGATTCTTTGAGTGCGATGAGATGGGTGGATAAGCGGATGGGGATGGCTAGGCTGCGAAGGGTTTTATCCGGCAAAGTGGCAACCCTGTAATTTTCTTTTTATTTGGGTAGAGACTAGATTGGGGCTGAAGGGTAATGGGCCGTTTACAGCAGTTGGGTTGAGTGGACCGATGAGTTGCCTTACATCGCAACCAAAATACCAAATCAAACGGTATCATGATGTATTTGTTAATAACACTTTGATGTTACAATTTTTGCATGAAGAGTAAGTTTCTGAAGTAAAAACAAAGACTCTGCTGGTTTCTTGCTTTTGTTTCTTTTACATTTATCTGCTGACAGAGCATATTTACAGAGATGATACCATCAAAGTTTTAAACCCCTCTTTATGAAAAGATGGCCAGAAAAAAGAAAAAGAACAGAGAGTGGAAGGAGGACTCTCACCAAGATGCAAAATGCGGACTTTGAGAAAGCTACATGTAAGCTATTAACGAGAAGCAAAGCAATCTACTTGGATAATAATTGTGATGGGTTCCTTTGACGAGGGGTGAATCAATATACTTCAACTTGTTTAATGCTACGCGGTTATTGAAAGGCTTCATGACGAGTGAGTCAGCAATATTGAACCATTACTGCTGGTGTTTATGTATGATTTTAGAGTAACATTTCAAATGAGTTGGTCATAGGCTGATAGCTGATGCTGATGAATGAATTAGAGACGTTGCGGAGGAAGAAGAAAACATGACTAAGAGGATAGGGAAATGACCCGTGGGCCAACCCAAATCACTACAAATGGAAAAAAGTTTGGGCATGGCCCATGCGCAAACCCAACAAACGG